TCAATGGACGTGGTCTGAATATTTGAGTGGCTAGACATTTTGTGAGATTTTTATTATTTTCTACAGTAGTACAATCTTTTAGRAAGTTTAAATATTTCAAAAAGAAAGAGAATGTTTTAACAAAGTTTCCTGAGTAAACGTTTAGAACACAAAAAATGAACAAAAACTACTGACACAAAAATCACTTTCTGCAGAAAATACAAAGTCATCACTTTACTGAATCGGAGTCTGCTGATATAATAGTACATTTGTAAGCATTAACAAACAAACAAAAAAAATAAAAACAAAACAAAAAAAAATCAAAGGTATAGATGTACTGATGGTACCATTTTCATTTTAGTCAAATCTCAAACACTAAGTTCAAAAGTGTTGTCCAGCCTTAGCCTCCTTCGCAGGCTACTCCATCGGAAACAGACATTTTTCTCTTCTTGGTCTTCCTATGTTCATATTCTTGACCGAGAAGAACTGGTGTCGAGAGATTAGGAATTAACGAACAAGCCTAATTTTTTTGATTTTGCTAGCAAGATTTGACTTGACCAGACAACTTTACCTGCATTAGTTTAAAAATCATTTTGAGTCCTGTCAGTTATTCACCTTTGATTCAATTAATAACAAATCATTCAATAAGTATTCAGTCTATGATTTAATACTTTATTTTTACTGTGTCAGGAATCTCACCTGAGGAAGTGAAAGAGGTTTATATGGGAAATGTTTGTACTGCTGGACAGGGACAGGCACCTACCAGACAAGCAGCTCTTGGTGCAGGTACCTATAGCTTGATATATGACGAAATAATGATGATTAATACTCCAGTTTTGAATTCTCTTTTGTGCAAGCTTAGCTTCAATCTAGTATAAATTTTTATTGTCTTCTTTGTGTACAGAGTGTTTGCATTACAATAGGATATCTGCTGAATAAAAGAATATATTACATGCTTTCGAGGTTAAGGCTGCACAAATAACATCTCGAAACAGGAGTATTATTATTGTTATTTATTTTTGCTGACTATTAAGTTAATTGCATAAACTGAAAAAAATTATAGATATCCGAGAATGGTAAACTATGTTGCAAGTTTTCTTGAGCAATGAGAAGTCATCTTCCAGATGACAGAGAAAGTACTGGGGCAAAACCTCGCTTTAAACGGACACTATTTGTTATCCGACCACTATTTTAAGTGCTATGTAATCAACAGTCATACTGTTTTCCTAAGATATAGACGAGCACAAAACTGTCGTAAGCGGACACCAGCCGTTTATATATTGACCACTCTTTAAAGTGCTATGTAAGACAGCATGAATGCCTTGTCTCCCAAGATATGTTCGGACAACGACCGATTTGAACTGACGTCTTACGTTTACCGACCGTTCTTTAAGTGCTATGAAAAAAGCATGGATACTTGACTCCTTAAAATATGGTCGAACAGTAGCCGGCATTGACAGGATATCATCCGTTAACCATATAAAAATGCTCGTTTTTTTCTCGTTTTGAACTTTTCATTGGCGAGTTAAGATAAATCGACCTAAATTAGACGATTGAAATTTAAACTTGAAATTAAATTATTCAAATATGGAAAAGTTTGTTCAAAGAACGTCAGTTTCGTCAGTCCATCAGTTTTTTCGTAGTTGTTTACACAACTCGTTGGCAAGGTGCGCAAATTTACACTTAAACATGTCCATAAAACTGGCAAGCTCTCAGTACATCAAAAGTTTACATAAATTGTGAAGTTTTAAAAGAGATTCGGTTGAACTTACATAAAGCTGAAGAAAGTTAAGAATAAATGCAAGAGGAAACAAAGGAAGGTA